CAGTTCTAATTTTCTGTTAGTTCTCATTACAACTGTTTTGGAAGCATTATGTCAAACAAGGAGTACATAGTAGCTGTCTGAGGGCGAGAAAAGACATTTCTACAGCCCATGAGCGAGACTAGTACAGTGCAGCATCATTAGGTTGACGAAAAAGAGGAATTGAAGAAGATTGAATGGCATAGTCAACAGTTATGATGCCTTAGTGAAGCCCTTGTGTTAGGGTAGTAGTACAGTGAACACACAGGACAGGGTTGAACAGGCAAGCTGGGTCTTGTGTGTTCTTTCTAGTGTTGCCCTCTCATAAGTGCATCTCTATTTACAGAACAACTTGTAGCCCGGAGAGGCAGTTAAGCTGTATCTTGTGTGTTCTTTCTAGTGTTGCCCTTCCATAAGTGCATTGCTATTTACAGTACAATTTGTAGCCCGGAGAGTGTTAGGGTAGAACTGAAGGGAAATACGCAAAAGACAAAGATTATGTTCAATAGCCCAACAAACAGGAGTTCATGATTGACGAGACCCTAGAATCTGTGCAAGAGGATGTATGGATAGATCAAGTAATAAGGAACCCTACCTGTGTAAAATTGGTTGGCTTCCTTATTATCACTGTACAATGCAATAGAGTGGAACCACGTTCTCACTGAAATCACATCAATTACTGACAATTAATGTTTTCGTGAAGCACTAACCAATGCTGTTAAAACAAAAACCTGTCTTACCATATTGCTGTTATTCTCAAACTTGTTTTGCCTTATGTATATATGTACTTTTGTTTCCACCACCCGTTTAATGCCTTCGGCATTGAGTAGTAAAATAAATAAATAAATGAAAGAAATCCATCTAGGAATAAGATTAGGCTAGAGCCCATGTGACAGGCATTCCCAAATCATAACCATGAACTTACTGCTGTCCGCTAAACAAAATCTATGTAATATTGCATTATTTAGGTACTTACATACAAAAAAGAAACATTTAGGATGACAATAAACTTGAAAAAAAAGTCAAAGCTGTGTGTGTTGGAACAGGCAACAATAGAAATAACCTTATTTTACAACTCAAGAAAACATCAGATTGGCTGAATGAATAAACAGAAGTAGCCAATGTTCTAGTTTGCTTATGAAAAAAAAATGGTCTGGGCAAGCCACGAAATGTCTAACGCAGACTATTGATGGACAGTTGAAGTAACAGAATGGACACTATCAGATGGAAAATGCAGCCAAATACAGAACTAAAGAAGAATGAATGGTTGTAGGTGGAGTGATTAAGAAGTTTGCAGTTACAAAATTTAAACTGCTTGTGCAAGATAGGGTGAGTTAGAGGTCGTTATCTGTATCCTGCAGTGGACCTAGAATACACTGAAGATGACAATGAACCATTTTTGTTTGGTTGGTACAGAAGAGGTGGGCATAATAAGTTAAAAAAAAAAGTGGTACTATTTTCTGCAGCCCGTCAAGAAAGCACTGCTCAGTGCCACAGCAAGGAGAGTAAGGGAATAGGAGAGAGAGAGCAACAGGAGGCTTGAACAAAAGTGTGGGCACGCATGCAGGCATGCATACAGGTGCCATAGTGCATTGTACCTACACAGGGGCCTAGTTTGATAGCTCTATCACCACTCTGTGGGAAGTGATAAGCATGAGTTTAGTACTACTATCACCTTAGAGGTGATAGTAGTACTAAACATGACCTTTCACTTATCTTGCAAGCAATAAAGAGAAGGGTAAATTCACAGCAAGACCAGTTAAAACTTGAAGCAGTGTCTATACAAGAAAAACTTCTTGACAAGATAATTACAGTAAAACCTCGTTAATTCCAAGTCACTGGGGCCGTGAGAAATTTTCTAATTAAGTAAGTTTTTTAATTAACAGAACATACAAAAAGTGGGATGCAAGGAACTTGGAATTATTCTGAGTAATTAGAATATGTCGTATGCTGTGCCGGCTAGTTTGCGGCTCCAAGGGTTATATTTTCTAGCTATACCTGGTCTTAATTTCGCTGCAAACATGGCAGAACGGCGGGCCTTGTGGCTGCCACCGGAAAAAAATAAAAAAGAGGACGCTGTCCTGATCAACGAAAATGCGCACCTGTGGAAAACAAGACATCTTCACTGCAACACAGTAGTGACACGCCAGCAGCACGTCATCAGCTAGCTCCTCACTGCGTCATCACGTCATCATGCGACCGTTTGCCCATTCTTACTGGTAAAATAAAGAATTTAATAATGGGGTCAGTGGGATGAAATTCGTGTTATATTTTGGCTGGAAAACGTGATCATTGAAGCTTTTGAATTTGGTTTTTGAAGGAAGCATTGCAGGCAAGAAAACTCTGCCAGCAGTTCAAGTGCGCAAATTGCGGGAGCAACCAGCAATTGGAGGTTCACATATATGGCAAATTCAGCCAGATCGTCCTTTATTCATTTCTTTACAATCCCTGAAAGAATGGGTAAATCATGGCGCACTGACGTTGCGAGAAACATGCAATATGCTGCCCACGCATTACCACCGATTTGCAGTGAGGCACATCGTGTTTTCTGCAGGCATACAATTTAATTGACCCCCAAACTGGGTGTTTTTTTTTCTTTGTGCACTGGAAATAGCGAGGCTGGGGTGCTTCAGCTGCCACTTATTAGTATCACAATGTTGCATTGCCTTGTGGCTCTTAAGGGCTGTCGTTTCCGTGGATTTGCGACGAAATCGGGATTGAGAAATACCACATGGCACCCAAAGTTTTCGAATTAACCGAACTGGTGTTGACCGCCGCTTCAAATTATCCACTCAGACTTATATTGCAAAAATACGGAACCGCGGAAATGTTTTGAATTTTACGGGATTTCAAAATAATCATGTTCAAATTAAAGAGGTTTTACTATACTTAACAATGTATATATTCAACCCTATTATCATCTGAGAAGAAACAGAAGTTAATGTTTTATGCTGGTTGACATTAATGTTCTCTCCTTGTCATTTTTTCAATTTTTTAGCTCTTTACTGGCCAAATTAAGTATATGTGAATGTCTACTTTCTTTTTCATGATATTAGTGGCCAAGTTTATATTTGTGTTAATGTCATCATTTGCACTGTACCATCATTATGATGCTAATTTTAGGATTGGTATGTCTATGTCTGAACATGCATTATGATGTCTTTTTCCATTTAAATTTATTTCCTTTCCACTTCACACTGCAGCAGTTGGCTTGGTTGAATCTAGTAAGTATGGCATAGTGTACTGTACATGTGCGGTAATAATGTGACTTTTTCTCACTGGCGTTCATATAGAAATTACTTTTGTTCTAGGCTCTGCTCACTACAATCACAGCCTTTTTTTTCTCTTTCTCTCTATCTTAGTGCAGGAGTAAAATTTCTTGCATGTGGTTGCTGCTGTGTATGTAAGATACTATACACTCGGTGATGTGATAGCTGCACCAATTGGGCTAAACTGTGCCAAGAGATGAAACCTGCTACATCCTGCTACATTTCCGCAAAAATCTTATAATTTACGCCGATCGCGCACCAAGACATCATTTTTGTGGGCTCTGGGAGAAAAACACGACAAGCACTCGACGTAACTATCTGATTGATCAAAATTTTTAACTTATGTGCGCAATGTTTGTTGGGCACATGCATGTGTGTTCTGGTGTCTTGGTCCTGCTTCTCAACTGTGGCAGAAGTTCAGGTTAAAGAACACCTCGAATAAGATACAGAGCTGTCATTACAGCAGATTTTGTTCAACACAGTGAATATTTAATGCACAAGAGAGCAACTAATTACTAAAGCCTATAATCTGCTAACTACCCACAAAACAGCAGCTCAAAAATTCTCTTCATGAAGCTCAACATAATTTACTTTACCATACAACATTGGCCTTGGTTGAACTGGAAGTACAAACTTGTCAGAAAAGATTTTTTCATTCATCAGTTCATCAGAATAGTGAAAAAAAAAATGCTTGGAATATTTACGCAGCTTGCATTTTTATACTGTGACCAATGCATAGGAGAGTGCCTCATTTACAGAAGATGACACAACTTGCCTCAGAACAGCAAGTTAATGTCGTCTTCTAGATTTTTCATAATGAACATGTATTTGTGTGTCCATAAGTACATTTCATTAAACATGGTACAACTTCTTCATATTGCACACAATTATTTGCGATCTCAAATGTGGGCCTGGTAAGGTGCTCCAAAAGGCTTATTTAGTGCACCAAAATGGGGTTTTATCTGCTTCAGAAGAAGCGCTGAAATTGGTTCAACCAATCACATCACTGTACACTTCTAGTTTGTTCCCTAGCCAAAAAACAAAGGCTATTTGCAGAAGCTTGATTTAGAAAACTTTGTATAATTGAAATAATTCATTTTATGTTCTCATTGTAATAATTTATATTCACATGTTGTTATGTAGCAAATGGTAGGCTGTGACCAGCACATCGTGCAGCAATGCAGCCTTTTTTATATAGGCATCTCAAAAAATAGTTACGCAATGCAAGAACCTATAAGGTGGAGCAAGGGTTAAAAAAAAAAAAAAAACTGTCATCCTCCTTGGGTAGCATGAAGCTGGAACAGAAACCCATGCGGGCTTGTGCAAAGCCTAGCAGTTCAAGAAAAGTAAACTCTAGACCACTATTTTTCCTCTAGACCACTATTTTTCCTGGGTGGTTGTTCTATTGCCTGCGCTAATTGGGAGGCTAACAGATTAAAGAATGGAGCCTAATTAACTGTAAACTTCAATTTTAGAAATGCTGAATATGGCAAATATATTAAGCAGAAGTACACAAGGTTTAGGAAGTTTTATAAAAGCGAAAATATAGCCACCCATCTTTAAGTGCCGGAAAGCTACGAAGCATTTAAGGACTACCCTTGAGAAGATTGAAGGTATGGGCTTCTTTGTTGCTTTGTATACTTTCTGGTGGATGAGGATTTTTTTCATCCAAGATAGGATGGCTGTGGCTTGTGTATCTGCATGTGTTCAAGTTTTAGGTTGGCAGTCAATTTTTTTTCTATTCTTGTGTTGTAGGCAACACCCAAGCTACCAATGAAACGAAAAAGCATTAACTGCAGGAAACTGAGGCCACAATCTGTTGTAGGTAAGTTTAATCGCTTTTTTTTTAGAGTATTTGTTATAGCAAACAAAGTGGGTGATTTGGCCGTTGGTTGAATCAGGGGGTGATGGTGACAAATTCCATCACTCATTTGGTGATGAAGTGTGGCACCATTCCAATGTGCCAATGAAATTTGTGTAGTGTGCATGTGTACACGTATGTGCATGTGTGTAAACATGGCTGATTCCACATTTCAGATAGCGTCGAAGGGATAGCAGCGGATGACATCCCTGACCTCTTGCCCAAAGGTTCAGAAAGTAAGTATGTGAATAGAAAAAGGGCATTGACTCAGTTAATCTGAACAACTGACTTGGTTACCAGCCAATTCATTTTTATGTGTACAGTTAAACCTCAATGTAAAAAATGAATATAGCTAATTTGTCTGTGTGATGAAATAGTTTATTTTTTGTAACTTTATCCTCATGTAAATTATATATTTGATCCTCAATGGGAAATAAATTTTGTTTATTTGTGATATCAATATACAAAGTTTCACTGCTGCCACAACGAAGAAGGAAACAAACTCAGATTTCCACGGCTGTCTGTGGTCGCATGGTTAAGTAGCACATGGCTTTTGTGAACACATTTTTCAAATCGTGTGTCGTGTGGCTGAAAGCAGCTACAAAGGGGACTGGCAACATTTCTGGCCATGGCTGGGGGACAAAGGTGTAATTGGATGTTTTCCTTGCATTCAGAGCTGTAGAAAGGGAGAGAATGCAGGAGCCCTGGCTCATCATATCCCACACTGCTCAACTGCCTCTATGCAGCATAGTTCTGTGTTATGCATCATGTGTGTAATGTGTCATCATCCGATATGGTGCTTTTGTTACCTAAAGTACGAGCTGGCATAGAGGTGATTGCAATAGACACAGTGAGCTCTCTCTTATCTTGCAGGTGATTTCAAAAATGAAAAATGGTTGCAGTTATCAGCTTCATAAAATCATGTGGGTTTTTTGTGTTAAAACCCACTTACAAGATGTCTGTTGAACCAATGCATAGAGGCAACCGGAATTGACGATGTTATATAGGGTCTTGCTGAATTTTTTGCGGACATGTTTGGCTTAATGTTGCAAAGTGGGAAGGTGGCTACCTTGGATGGAGATGCTATAATCCAGGTTTTTGCCTAGTTTTTATGCAATTTTAGGCTAAAGCTGTTTTGTTTTTGTAGTGTGCTACAGTTTTCGGTGTTGTGCATTCATCGTACTGAATGGAGAGCCAGTCGTTGGCATGACAGCATTGATATGACAGCATTTGCATGACATCACTGGGAAACACCCAAATTTTTCATGACAAGCTGCGGCAGCACGATGGTCATGACAGCTTCACCTAACACTTATTACCACTTTGTGTTGGACCTGCGTTTCGTTTAGCTTTATGTGTGACGTATATGGAGCTATCATGGCCAGGACTTTGCTGGCCCAGCATCAAGTTGTAATCACTGAATTTCAAGTTCAAGAAAATTTCTTTTAAGTGCGTAAGCATTTCCACACCGTAATAATGAGAAACTCTGTCTGTCTATCACATAAGACCAATCTTTTTAAATAAATTAATGTGTCAGTTAAAATATACAAGAGGAAAAATAAAACACAAGAGGAAAATTTTTGTGAGTTTTAAACCTATGAACCCACACTCGGAAGCTAAATTTATTACCAACTGGGCGGAACGCCCATACTTAAGGTAAATAAATATATGTAAAGCATATAAATGTGTTGTGCTGGAAGAGCTACTGCAAAATGCTGACAAACGCAAGAAACATGGGGAAAGACACTGTGGCAATGCCACCCAGCAACAATGTTTCAAGGAAGTCTACAGTACAGAACGAGCATAGGAAATATAGTTGTGTGTTGTGATGGACGCTATCAGGAACAAAGAGTGCACGATTCTGTGTTCATTATCACGTGCTGCTCTCCCATTTCGGTGTTCCAACCATGCTTATCCATTTCACAATCCCTTTTGCGATGCTTCTTAAAATTATAGCAAACACAACACCATACAATGACAAAACAGCATTTGATTGCTAGACAACTCTTACACATAATTTGCGAAAATTCCTTAGGAGGATCTGTGGGGATGTTTTTCTGTTATTGAAGTAAGTATTTTTTTCTTAAGGCCTGCTATATTACTTGGATATCTTTATTGCGATTTTCGTATATAAATAACTGGAAGCTTCAACAATTATGCTTAACATGAAAGGTTGCATTTGAACTGAGTGAAATTTTTATATAACCATGTAAACTGCTCATCTTATACGTATTACTGACTTTATTAGGTATATTGAGCTGGGGGGTAGCAGGAGAAAGTTGCCACTTACAAAAGCAGCTAATGAATTAGGACAAATCTAATGCAGAATCAATCTGTAAAGCTGTGGGGCTTGCTATATTACTTGAATATCTTTATTGCGATTGCAGAATCAATCTGTAAAGCTGTGGGGCTTGCTATATTACTTGAATATCTTTATTGCGATTTTCATATATAGATAACTAGAAGCTTCAACAATTATGCTTAACATGAAAGGTTGCATTTGAACTGAGTGAAATTTATATAGCCATGTAAACTGCTCATCTTATACGTATTACTGACTTTATTAGGTATATTGAGCTGGGGGGTAGCAGGAGAAAGTTGCCACTTACAAAAGCAGCTAATGAATTAGGACAAATCTAATGCAGAATCAATCTGTAAAGCTGTGGGGCTTGTTCTTTCTTATTTACTGTATATTGAGCACTTAAGCCTTTAATCTCTTAAACATTACTCTCATGCAACATTAACTCTAGCTGTATATGTGCTTCTATATGAAGCGATCATCCCCCTTCCACTTTGTAGGGTATATATGTGTATTAGAACGTGAAAGCGTCTGTCAGCGCCACCTGTTGCCATCACGGCGAGTGTGGAACCCTCTTTCTTGCCTGTTTGGCGTCACTTAGTATGTCATCTTATTACAAGATTTACATTTACATTTTTATTACAATTACTTCTAATAACATCCCCTGTACGTTAACATTGCCTGACTATTTAAGATAGCTTAGTCTGAGGAATTTTTGTTTTAGACATGAAAGAAATTTTCAAGTTCTGTTGTGCCTCCATTTAGTATCATTCTATAGAAAAACGTCTTTTATTCTATGCATGTAGTGTTGAGGATTAGGGTAGTTAATACCGTATTTTCAAATGTTTTATGACACAATGAAAATTGCTAGAAATGTCCAGTTTTTTTGTTGTTGTTTGGCGCTTTTTGCCATTCTTTCCTATTTGTTGTGCTGTAGTAGGTCTGAAAACACTACGCAGTGTATGTGACAGTGTGAACTTGGGGCACGTATAACATTGTTATCTGATTTTCAGCAGCAATATTGCTGTAAATATCAAACTCTACATTCAGACTGTTTTTCCATTGATTGTGCATTTCTCAGGTCAAGTAAGGGAACATTACTGTATATCCTAATGATCTATGAAGGACTTACTACCTCTGGATTTTGTGAAGGCAAGGCAAAGAAAAAATTTTTATCACAGTATCGCAGCTTTTATAAGGGTCAGTGTATATGTTCCTTCTTGTGTTGCCATATTTTTTGGGGCAAGTATTCTTTTTGTAGTGAAGCTTATCATTTGTATGGTAAACATTGGCAGGCATCATTTGCTTCACAGCAGACAGCCTGCCAAACTTGTCTCCGACATCAGAAAAGCTGGAACATCTGGGAAAAGCACGACCCAAGCGGCCAAAGACACATGCACCTACACGACCTTGTCTGCAAGCTTCTGAGAGCCGGGAGCCACCTCTCGCAGAGGGTTTGGACTGCTTTTTCAAGCGGCACCCATCTACCTCAACACCCACACTCTCGCCCGATTCAGAAGATGTAGGGTGAGCAATGAAAATCCTTAAAGCAGTAGCAACAATGCTATTTCTGTGGAAGTGATTTTGTTTAAAGTTGGTTTAAATTATGGTGTTGCATTTCAGTAACACCCATTAACACAATTAGCCAAAATGCTTGAAATGCTTTAGATGGCTTTATCTAATTGTTAAACCTGCTTATAACGACCCTCTACATAACAAATTGCTTGATATAATGAAGTTTTTATATTCTCCTGTTGCTTCATAGATGCACATGTATTTGTGACCTTTATGTAACAAAGTAATAGCTGGAAACAACCTTAATATAATGAATTTTCTCCGTGGACAATCTAGGAATGTTGCCCCGGATTTTGGCATTTTAGTATGAGCATGCATCTTCTGCGGGTGCCCTGCCGCTGCCAAAGCGCGAAGCGATGGCGGCGTGCGGGTGAGCGCGATGCAGGCAGGCAGGCAGGCCTGCATTCCACGAGCCAGCGTTGCCGCCATTCTTTCTGCTATGGAAGCATGCGCGAATGTGCCCCCCCCCCCTCCAAAAAAAAAAAAAAAAAAGAAAACACTTTTGCATTGGCAGTGCCACAATTTTAGTTAGTGTCACATATGTGGGGCCACGCTGCATATTGTTAAGGGATACGAGGTTGATGATGGCATCCCACCGCTGCCACCAGTTGTTAGGGGTAAGTTGTTGATGGCAGGTACGGCAGGTTTCTTTATGGTAGCTGGCTCCCCGCCGTTGTCCGCATAGCCGATGCTCGCCAGTGAAGAGACGCGTTCGGGGAGATAGAACGAAGGTTTATTTACATGATGAGAATGATGGAACTGTATAGAGATTCAGCAGAGATTCAGCTCAGGTTTACAAAATGTCTTCGGCTTTTATAGCCTGTCGTCTCCTTACACGGAGGTCCGAAGAAGGTGGTGACCACTCTTGCCCTGAATCAGATGACGTGCAGTCACAGTGGTCAACCCACCAGAAAGGTTGCAGATAGTGAACCACTCGGCTGATGATAAACACGGGCGAAAAGGTCGAAAAGGTGCTCGGCACTACCAGCCCGTGCGAGTGAAAAGGGGGAAAAGCCCAGTTTCATAAGCGTGATCTAAACTGCCTTCTTTTTCGCTTGGCTCGACAGACTTCCTTCTCGTTATATACTTCCAGCCCTCCACGTTTATAGCTGTACTGTCTGCAAGATCTCAATGAAAAGTCCAGTTAGAACTTGTAGCATATACATTGCATTAACGAAATGCCCAAACTTTCACACGCACACGCAGTTTAAACATGTGCTTGCCTCTGCTACCATCCACATGAGTAATGTTGCCTGGAGCCCTCAGCAACACTTGTCGATGCTGTTGTGCCGATCCTACGATCAGCTGCTACATGTTATGGTAACAATGGCAGTTGTAAAGGTCTTTTTTTTTCTTTTTGCTTAATGCTGTTGCATTGTTCATGACCTGCTCTGAAAGAAACTTCAGTGATTGTTTACTCATTGCTTAAAGTATGGCCAGGTGTGGATCATTTCTATGTAACTTTTCCTCAATCTGTCAACTTAGTTTACTCAACACCAAACGGGCGGTCCCACCTAGTTCGGGCTGCCCGAGTGGGTATGCATTAATACAGCTGCGTTAGAAAGAAAAGGTTGTTGTTCGGTTGTTGTAAAAGTTTTTTCACTGCACAGTTTTTTTGTAAAGCTAAGGTTAGTGGTTCTGGCAAGCTTGGCGTAGGACTGGTAGTTCTCGCAGCAACGTAACCTTCGTATTTTTCGTCAGCACGTGCTTTACAACTGAAGCAGCCTTCAGCGTGCTCCATATTTACACTAAATTGGAGCGACAGCTTTGCGCTTGAGTCAAGCATTTCACCGGGTGCACCACACAAAGATGAGTGCACCACACAAAGATGCACCCGGCCCACGCCTTGAAGACGTAGAAGTGCGAGAAAGTAGAGTTCGGTGGAGGGGGAAAGTTGAGCTCCTCCAGGGAGATGGTCGCTGACATGAACGTCAGAAGTGGTCCAAGGCAGCGTTCTGCTACAGTGTTTCCAGAAGTTTCCTGAACTCGGCAGGCTAGGTGCTCAATACCCAAGAACGGCGACTGCGACGCCTTCCCACGCATCCGAACTCTCGGTGCTTTGCGACGACCTCGCGTAGGCGACAATAGCCGAGTCAAGAGATTGACTTCATGGGAACTGCAACAGGGCTGCCGTCTCACGCTGTTCAACCCGGCTCAGCGATGGTTACGTCGAGTTACCACAGCAAACTGCCAGACCCACCAGCAGGTCAGCGTCACTCTTTCCGCTTCCATCCGGGTGCCGATACCAGGGAGAAAGCCTTCTCGCAGACTGGCTCATGCACAATGGCGTCTGCCAAGACGAACTGCCAGGTCAAACATTACAATATGGAGGGCTCTTTACCGAATAGTTTTCCGCGGTATTCGTTCGTGCCTTTCCATTTCGTTCACTTTTCGTCTTCGACCTCTTGCATGAATGCATGGTTTCATTGCGCATGCATGGTGTGGCCCCCGACGACGTTCAGCTCTGCTTTTTGGGGGGGGGGGGGGGGGGTAATCGTGTTGTTACCACTGAGGGGATATCAGATTAAGCGCTTATGGAAACTCCGCAAGACCACGTCGAGGACGAATCTTGTGAGGTCGACTCGTCACGCGCTTCCGTCTTGCGCTGTGCTGCGAGTTCGCAGGCTCGTACCTTTGGCCATTAGCCAATTAGTTTTGGCAACAACATGATGGCACGTTGAATGCAATGCAATGAACGCGATAGCAAGAAATTGTAATGTTACGTATTAAGGTTTGCAACCAACCCTTTTAGCTTTTAGATCTAATATCGCGTAACTCCTAAAAAACTGCCGCTCCTACAAAACGGCGGCTCCAGCGAGCAGTGCTCTTTTCACACAGTCCCTTAGCGTTGAAAGTGCACAGCTGATACTTGCTGAGATTCGCCGTGAAAATGAGCAGAGTCACTGCCTGGCGACAACTTGGTAAAGGGTGCAAGTGTGGATTGCTCTGTGTGTCGTCTGCTAGCCACATCATGTTTCTATGTGCGCATACGTCATGCACGTTCTCAAAGTGGGGTTTGTCTGGTCATGTCAGTGCGAGGGTAGCTGCTAATGCATTGTAATAAGATCGGCTAGTGCAACTTTCCAGTGTGCTGTTTATTGTCGTCATACCCTCCATTCACCAGAATAATTTCAGAGTGGGTGCTGCCTTCTGTTTCAAGCACATCGTAAAATGCTCTTGGCATCCTCCCAAACATGAGGACTATTAAATGATGTGTGAATGCAGCATTTTAGCGACTCGATTGTTAACAAATACGAGGCTCTAGGGCACATACTTGGTGCTGTTTGTAGGTATACAACTACAGCACTGTAGCCTATCTATCATCCGAGGAGCCTTAGTTGTGTTTATCCGGCCATGGTACCACTACATAGAGATATTACTATCACATAAACTGTGCCACTTCTGTAATTAAACTGTACTTAAAACCGAGTTACCGTGCGCAACCATGTGCATAGATATAAGAATGCTTTAAAGAGCCCTGGCGTTCAAAATCAAGACGACACAAGTTACATATAATGTTCAATTTCATTGAAATCTCATCAGTTATACATTGTCTTGAGCATTTGTGTGTCATTGTTATTGACTGATGGAAGGCAGCGGTCATTTTCTGTCTGAAAAAAAAAAAAAAAAGAATGTATGCTTGTCTCATTAACCAGACCTTTGTTGTAGCACTGTCATGCACATAATCTATCGATAAAAGCTTTTTGCAGAACTCTTATGTAAGATTTTTATATTTTTACTGGTGCAAGAACATGTAAGTGCACGTGGTGAACACAGTGTAGCGCAAAGCGCTGTCAGCCACTAGGCTGTTCTGACTAAACTTATCAACTGTCGCACATTTCATGGTGAACAGAATGAGACAAAAAAAAAAATCATGTGTACAAGGTGCAAACGATGGTACTGAAGTAATCGGACAGATATGTGGGCTTTTCATGATCTTTGTTTCTCTCTTTCTTGTAGTATGTAGATCACAAAAATGTAAATAAGTAGTTCAGTCACGCTAAAACAGTGCGTAGCAGGCGGGACACAAGCTAACCATGTACAACACAGAAAAAGCGCGATTTGGTGTGAAAGCGTGAAGAAAGTCACCCAGTGCGAGCAGCCCTATGAAATGCAGAATGCGCTTCACTCGCGGGTAATGGTAACGTTGCATAGGCTTCGTGCACTGATTCAGTGGAAAGGCACATAGATACTACCAGTAAACTGCAGTCAATGCATTTTATTTGCCGACAATCGGCTCAGACCGCACGCCACGCAGCACTGCGTGTATTTGTATACACGCCACCGCTCACCCATCCACACTTGCGCAGGGACGATGCTACCATCTATAGCCCGATCTCGCTGCAAATAGCACGTGTGCCAGCGATCGCGACCGCTTTCAATATTGAAGTTCATTGTTGCTACTCAAGCGACCCCCCCCCCCCCCCCCCCCCCCCGTTTTTTCATGCTCGTTCAAGACGGGTGGTTTCCTTTGTGTTTAAGCATTCAATGGTAGTTCTAACACGTCGGTGATGTTATCCTATGCACCTTCCAGGCAATGGAGATGGACAGGCTCATTTGGTCTGAGCTTCAGCAGCGCTCGTGTGCTTTTACCTGCTCTAGAAAGTTGCGATGTTGCCTGCTCCAGAACGTTACGCTAACTGCAGTGAACCATTGTCATTATGAGCCTGCCAGAACGTGGCATAATTACCTACTAAATGGTAGTGCGCATTAATCATAAAGTACAAATTTTCGTCTTGTCATGTGTCACCCCTATCAACAATGAAATTAATGGGATATTTTATAAATGTCACCTAAAGTAACAATTGCTAGGTCTTTTTTTTTGCTCTTTACCAGAGTGCATTGCAATTACTTTTAAGAACACCCCCTATACTTTCCTTGACATGGTTGTCTGTTAAATCTCATTAATATTGTGCCTAACAAAGAAAATGAGCCCTTAAATGTACACTTCTTTCATTGCATACAATATGTCACCTACCAAACTTTTACCATCACTGCCAAGACCTTTACTGCGTTTGTTGGGAAAACGTCTGCACTGCTCACGACTGGCGTGAGTTCAATGAGCCACTTTTGTTTTTGCAAACGATTCTGCATGTGTACTTAGTGGCACGGATAAGGAGGCAGCACTGAACACTGGCATAGAAAACTGGTTAAAGAATGCAGTATGCTTATAGCATTGCCAATAGCTCTGCACATTCACTGCCTTGCAGTTGGGTAGAAAATGCTTATCGTTTTAGGGTTCTCACTAATACATCATACTGGCACATTTATATGTGGTCACCATCATTCTTCTGGGTGTTTTGAGTTCTTATGCTCATAAGGGTTGCAGCATTCATGCCAAGGTCTGAATCATTGATCACCTTCTCTGCACATACAGAAAAGGTGTAATATTCTTTACTGTACATTGTGTTGTGGCATTTGCCAAACAGCGAGTCAAGGCTTGCAGGTAGCCTTTATGAGACAAAAAAAAGGTCACTGTAGTACATGCTAATTAGTAAGCATAGGACAGGTCACTATGCCCTAAGCAGTTAGCAAATACTGCAATAGGCTTCATGAAGTTTTGGTCAGAGATTCATCACAACTATGTTTTAGCCCTTGGTATGTTTAACATGACTAAATTAATAAGGCCCTACTATATTAAAACGCCAGTAACTCATTATTATAGAAGTCCGGGAAAAGTCTTCAAGGCAAAGTATAGAAACCTTCATATATTGGCTTTTTTTCTGTGTTTTGTTGTCAAGGTACTTAGAGTACAGGGCAAAACACTTTTCTAGATAAAGAGTGAGAAATGCATGGGGCTGATGCCATGGCAGGAAAAAATTTTCAACCCGACCAAAGTTTAGAGATATCTGAGTTCAAGTTCATAAAGATTTATGGTATTACGTGTGGTTTACATTATGTATCAAAGATTTTGTCATGTGCTCAGGCTGAAGAGTGACAGCAGCACGTCTGCAAGCAGCTCCATTCTGATTACTGAATCCAAGCCACTGGAAAAATCTCCTTCTGACAACAAGGAAACTGAAAAGCGCAGCTTTATGAAGGGCATCAGCAGTTTGTTCAGCCGAGCTTCATCATCATCATCGGAATCGGTGGTTGTGCAAAAATCAAAAGAATCAAAAGACATCGGAAGCAGTGTTATGTCTACGTCCCTGTCTGCTTACTCTTCTGTGAAATCAAGGCATGACATTGATGTCCACGACAAGGAAAATGGAGGTTAGTCAATACTTATTGCTTATTCATTACATATAGTGGTTTCTGGTAGGTACAGTTTTTTAGCTCGTGCCAATGTAACTACAGAACTGCACCTAGTTAACCTTTAGAGCTGTGTTCTCTGTCATATGCCGTGGGTGGGAGGGCAAGCATGAGAAGCGATATGTGTAGTGGAGTAATGTCACCATTTCCCCGTGTGTCCATGTTGAGGGCCTTGCTTGTGTGAGTTTTGGCTCCTCCTCAAGCCTGGCAGATGGCTGTGCACACAGCTGATAGCATATTTGGCCTATACATGCACCCTACCTTGGAGGTAGCATCTGGCTTGCACAAAGGCAAAGGGCGAGCTGAGACAGGTAGTGACTCCATATGGACTCTGTTGCTATGCACTAATAGTATTAGAAGTCACATTATCTCAACTGTCCCAATGCTTAAGCCATGATTAAGCTGGAAGCATGCCAAAGCATTCATCATGCCAGCATTGTAACAACAAGTATTTGTATTCATTTTACGATCACTGAACTTAATCAATTTCATCTTTACTTGTATGTGCATTATACCATGCTTAATCAATTTATTTGTAAGTAAATGTTTACAGCAATGTTGATAGAACTATGGGCCCTACTTTGACTAGTTGTCTAACGCTTTGATATTTATATCAATGTATTTGTTCTCCCGCAAAGCTCCTCTTTTGTCATTTTTTATTAGTATCACACGAGTGCTTGTGATTTCATTTTCTTGGCAATTTCTTGCTTTTGCGCAGAAATGGTCACTGAAGTTAGAGTATCTGAGACAACAAAGATTTCTGGCATGGAAAGGTTTGGTGTGGGGCCTGGATCGGTGATATTAGCTGAAATGAAGGCATTGCAGGGGAAGCGTACGTCCGGGGGAGCTCCATCAAAAGGAAGTGTAAGTATCATATGCACTTTGTTTATAAAATTTACTTTAGTTTACCCAAAAGTTGTAAATTTCCACTGGTAGCATCAGTTGCAATTTAATGCAGGTGAAATGCTAGAGGCCCGTGCACTGTGCGATATTTCAGTGCATGTCAAAGAACACAAGATAGCTTTAATTTCTGGAGCTCTCCGCTATGGCGTGCCTCATAATCAGAATGCGGTTTTGGCACTTAAAACCCTAAAACCCTGCAAGCTATTATTATTATTATTATTATTATTATTATTATTATTATTATTATTATTATTATTGTTGTTGTTGTTGTTGTTATTGTTATTACTTCGGTTTATTACCTGGTGTACATAGGTGCTATGTTAAAGAAGACAAGGCTGATTTCTCTTTTTAGGAATCGGTATAACACGAAGGTGAAACATGTCCTCGCAGAGGTAATTGAGCGTTCATTGTGCATTGTTTTGCCACAAGGGTGAAGGAATGAATGCTACAGCAACGAATTGCAATGTCACGCGAAGAACAGCAAGCAGCTCAAAACTTGCAGCGCACGCCTCAAGCAGAAAGCACACACGAAATGAGCATACACAGGACAAGCGCAGGCAAACAACTGTCACTGCTCGACACAATGCATGCTGCTCAAACAGAAAGACGCACAAAATGAGCACATATACATCGGGTGAGTGCAAAAAACTGTCACAATTTTTACTTCTTCGTGTGTGAGCAGCGCGCTCCTTTAGAAAACACGACTGCGGCAGCGAGCGAATTGACTTTCGTGCTCTCTTTAACTACTGTAGCTTCAAAGAAAATTTGCACAGGAAGCACAAGAGGTACGAAGTGCCCAATCTCGTGGTAAGTGTGCTCACAAGTGAGCCACCACGCTAGACAACATCTCTATACGATCTTCGACCACGCCTTGTGGAGGCGCTTGCCATAGCAATGCGGGGGTGGCGTGGTACGACGACCTTTATAGCGCTCACCCGTCGTGCCATCTCGCTACTGATGGCGAAAACGTGCTGAAGTTGCTGAGCTCTGAGGACTGACAGCAGTACATGGTGTACATAAATTGCTCGCCATTTACATGTTGGAGAAGGTTCACTCTGTGGCTTAGTAGATAGCGTCGTGCTCTGAGGAGAGCGGGGTTGCAGAACTTATCCTGCTCATTTTTTTTTTTGCAATATGTTTGTATATATTGTTACAAGACTATATCACACTGAAGAAGCAAGACAGACAGCGAGAAAGACGACGTGATTCTGGGATGTTGGGCACGCTCTTGCTTGCTATCTTGGCTTAGGCTTGGCATCGTGCAAATATATCTTTGTTGTCACCACATTTCTCTGTGTGGCCTCAAGTAACATTTTGGTGGAAAGTGCTAGGTAGCAAAGCACAACGGAGCTTCGCAGCGGATGCCAAGTTGCCACTTCTAACATGTCTACCGACAGGGATGCTGCGCCAACAGCCATGCCTCGCGCATTAGCGGCGCCAACCTCGCTTGTGGTCATTGTGACCACTCCACCCCGCGATCCTGGCAACTTTCGGGCACTGACAGCGAAGACGTCGATGAGTGGCTTCAACGCTACGAGCTCGTGAGTGAAAAACCACAGGTGGGACCCAACCATGATGCTGGCAAACCTTATACAGTCGAGCCGGCTTATAACGAACCTGAGCGTGACGCGGCATCCGTTCGCTGTATCCCAAAGTTCGTAGTAAATGAAACACAGCTTTTAAAAAAAGTTGCGAGTGAAAACACAAAATTTTTTTGCCCCAAAAAGTCCGTGATGCATGTGTTTCGAAGAGCAGAAGCGATAAGGGCGGTCTCGAGTTCACTTATAACGGCAGGGTGCTCGTTCGCCGAGGCCTATGGCATAGGCTGCATGAGGCACTGGCTCCAAAGTTTCATCGTTCTCGCAATTCGATTCCTCCAAATCGCTCTCACCATGTACTTCATTCACAATGCCCTAATCCGTGCACGGTTCCGCAGTGTCGGCATCATCATCGGCCGTAATTAAATCATCGCAACAGATGTCCCACCCGCTCTCCCAGGTTGGAGTCGGCGACGCGCTGTCGCAAATCGCCGCCCCAGTGGTCCCGTTCGGAAGCTTCAGGCTCGGCATCAGGCCCGACGTTGACGAAGTCGGCCTCGTGGAAACAGTTTTGCACGCATGTAGCCCTCACCGCCGCCCATGAAATATTCACCATCTCCACAGCTGAATACCAGGACGCCCGAAGCGGCAAGTTAGCTGCCAGGTGGTCAACATCTATGAGCAAGCGCTCCACAACGTGGCACCTAACGCGCGGATTAGGCTCAAGCCAAGCGGTCACACTTTCGACGTTTTGTTCAGCAGCACGAAAAAGCGTGCTAGTCCTCCCGTCGGCCATCATGACCACACACGCACACCAAGAGCGAGCAAGACGTGCACACGCGACACACATGCCAGAGCGCGTGGAACAGGTCTGGGCTCGTTTCCAGTCTTCCAGTTTCCAGATACTTATTCGAGCCAGCGTGGCGGGCGTCAAGGAGCGGTGGAGACGGGCGAAGGGGTTGTGATTAAGAGAGGAGAGCAGACTTGCGAGAGAAGGGCAAAGAGTTGCGGTAAAGAGAGGGGAGGATGCGGCGGGAGGGCAAGCTTGAAAACCAAAACACATGGGAATGAGGCAGGTTGGGTAGCTTGCTTGAAAGGTCCGCGAACTCGCACGTAGAAAAACTTGGAAAGAGTGCATGGCCGCCTGAATCGGTGCGCGCGGCGGTGTTCGAAGAATCAACGGCTGGGGTGAAAAAATCGTTTTGTTGCGCTGGCGAGTTTGCGTGGCCTCACGAACTTCGATATATCGCGATTCGTTGCGCGTAAATTAACAGCCGTTTTCGCGCTTCCGCACGCGCGTGGAAGGCATGCTGAGTCAAGTGTGAACGGAGCGAAAACAAGTCCTAAAAACGAAACAAATCGCAAATTATCAGAGCCGGTGGGGTAGCGTACACGCGTGTACTAGATGTAGACTATTGGGTACAGTCGGTGGCCGATGATTTTGGCAAATGGTCTGGTCACTCCAGGCCGGCGAAGCCAACGACAGTACCAGCGATCAAAAACTGGGTAGATGGCCGACCGGTCTTCGAAAGATCAGTGGCAGTGTGAAAACACGGGCCTCGTCTGGCGATGCGGGGTGCTCAGAGTAGCGGGGGGACAAAGGACGGAGGGGTGCGTAACAAAAAGCGGTCAAGGAGAGCGGCAACTAGGGGGGGCGCGGAGGCAAGGTCGGCGTTTAACAATAAAAATATAAGGGCACCTCGCCGATGCCTGATCGGTGGTCGAAATTGGTTTCCTGGGAAGTCGGCAGATTGCTGACACGGTTCGCTGTAACCGATCAGCAGCGCTTGGAGACGTTCGTTGTAAGTGCGATTTTGTGCTATTGAACCAATCTATATTTTCACGGTCACACGGATATTGTTAGTTTTAAACGAAAGTTCGTTTTAAGTGGGGCCGTTATATGTGGGCTTGACTGTATTTTACTTGAAAGGTGTGGCCGAGGCGTGGTTCAACAACAATGCAGAAGAGCTCACCAGCTGGGACGTCTGTAAGACGAAGTTGTGAGAGTTGTTCGGCCAATCTGCCGTGTGCAAGCAGGGTTCGGCCAATCAGCAGGCCGCTAGAAAGAACTTGGTAACCGTGTCCAGACATCCATGGAGTTTTACCTGGCTTATATTCAAGATGTCTTGGCCCTCTGCCGTTAGGCTGATACCACCATGACAGAAGCCGACAAGGTTGCGCACATACTCAAGGGTATCGCTGATGATGCCTTTAGCCTTCTTGTATTTAAAGGCTGTTCGACAGTTCAAGACGTCACTAAGGAGTGACGACACTTTCCAGAGGCTAAAAGCCGTTGTGTTGCCCACCACTTCACCCGTCTTCTTAACACCGCTGCAACGTCAACTTGCGAAGACCTCCGTTTTGAGACCCAGCCCAACCCACCCTCTGCTGACATTACGAGGGTCATTCGACACGAAATCGAAGAGATGTCACCAGCACCCTTGAGGGTCCCGACGCCGAATGATCCTCAGTCCACCATATCCCTCATACAGAGCGTTGTGCGCCAAGAATTGGCAAACGCGGGCTTTCAGACGATCTGTTCTGTGCACCGACCCGATGTCCATCCGCCTACCTTGAACACCCCTGTCAACACTACCGGCGTCTTGCTCCACGTAACCGTAATCCAAACACATGGAGGACGCCCGACGACAGGCCAATTCGTTTCCGGTGCGAACGAGTGGGACACATTTCGCGTCATTACCGAAGCACGTGGACCTCGCCCTCGCGCACAAGCCCAAACTTCTTGAACTTCGACGCATCAGCCCGCCCTTCTGGCCAAGAACCACCCCGCCATGATGACTCAGCTCATTACGACATAACCGCCACGACCAATGCCCAGTACAGCCGCTCGCCTTCACGGCGACATAGTTTCTCGACGTCTCCTTCGCCATCCTGTTCCACATCCCCATCCTTTGCCCGACAGTTTTCTTCGGGAAACTAACTGGTGCAGCTCTTGGAGGTGACGCTGCTGCAACGACTTGCCCTACAATTCCTCTGTTGACCCTCCCGAAAAACCAGAGCTTGATTCATGTAAAAGTGGATGGTTTATCTGTTAAAGAAGTGGATGGTTTGTCTGTTAAAGAAGTGGATGGTTTGTCTGTTAAAGCTTTAGTCGACACTGGCACCCAAATTTCTGTTATGAGCTCGCACATTCATGACCGCTTAAAGAAAGTCTTGACTCTAGCCCTTTCACACTGTGTTCCTGTTGCTGACGGCAGTGCAGCTGCCGTCGTTGGCATCTGCACAGCACGTGTTACTATAGCCGGCCATCAAATCTCCGTCCTCTTCACTGTTCTCACCAACTGCACCAATGATGTTATCTTCGGTCTAGACTTTTTGTCCGCCCATTCGGCCCTCATTGACTGTTTAGGTAGCACGGTGCAACTTGACCTGTCCTATACGACTGATACGCCCATTCCGCCC